AGAGAGAGAGAGAGAGAGAGAGAGAGAGAGAGAGAGAGAGAGAGAGAGAGAGAGAGAGTTGGAAGCAGGGTTGACTACTGCGTGACACAAATTCACCAACATGGCAGTGCGAGACAGACATTGGTCCGTAGTAGCCAACCTTTGTTTTTGATTGGTGTTGGATTGCGGTATTTCATTTTGTTGATGGACGCTTGAGGGCGCGTCGATTAAATGTTGAGCTGCCCTGCTACAAACACGGTTCACTACTGCGTGACACAAATTTACCAACATGGCAGTTCGCGAGAGAGAGTGGCACGCAGTAGCTAACCTTCCATTTCGAGTCTGTGGGATTGTCGTACTTCATTCTATGGACGGACGCGTGTGGGAGCCTCAATTAAATGCTGAGATGGCCTGCTACAAGCACGGTTCACTACTGCGTGACACAAATTTAGCAACATGGTGGCATGAGAGAGAGAGTGGCACGCACTAGTCAACCTCTATGATGACGACAACCACGGATAATGTTTTTTTCATAACATAGTCGCTCTATGACCAATCACACAAAGATAAGCATTACAAGGGATTGTACAATTGTTTATCATAAATAACAGACCATATATTGTAAAGTGACTGTTTAAGTGCCATGGTTCAGAGCCTTCATCTCCCCGCTCTCTCTCTCTCTCTCTCTCTCTCTCTCTCTCTCTCTCTCTCTCTCTCTCTCGGAATGACCGTGACCTTGTGTAATGAACCTTCTGATTCACACTATTCTGTTCACCACCTCCCCCCCCCCTCCCCCCCACCCCCAGCTGTTCAAGGTCTGGCGCACAGACTTTCTGTATCCCTCTCCCCGTCTCTGCTTCTCTCATGCTGCGGTGCAATGAACTCCAAGTCGAAATCGTCATCCGTTATTGTTGTGTTGTGTGGCCCACTCCTGTGGACAGAGGGCACGCCAACTCGAAATAGCGCAGCAGCCTTCTCAGCAACAGATACGGCACGGTCCAGCTTGAAGATCGAAAACTTAAAACTGTATCGCGACTGCGGACAGATGATGCGATGTCCTGCTTTATAGAGACCAATTTTCCTATCTGCTCCGCCGCTCTGGTGGTCTTTGTTGTCTGCTCGATTTCACATTGCAGAACCATCTCTGCAAAAGCCAATTGCTGCAGGGTCACGCCAAGGTTTACGCCGTCCCTCCTCATCTGGAAAAACTTGGTGAGTACGGTCTTGAAGGCTGGGGCGTCCCAAGGATCGTTTCCGCTCCGTCTCCACGTTTTGTTCTCCTTCATCTCTACTCGCATCTTGTTGCGAGTAGGGAGCTGGTGATCTGTTTGCTGCGATTGTACAAGCGGGATCCCTTTTTCAGCCCAGAACCAATATTTCAGTTGTCATGTTATCTCTCCACGCACAGTTGTCATCATTCTGTTGCACTCCCCTATGACTGCTCGAATTTCGCACTCCGCTACGTGTGATCGCAGTCCTTCCTCGGCATTCTCGCCTATCAGTTTGACCGTTGTTTACAGCGCCGTGAAAAATTCATCCTCTGTTGGGTACAGAGTTGCGTCCTTTGCTGCTGAGAACGCAAAGGCTTTTGCGACCGCCCGGAATAGTCTGTCTTTCACTTTCTTCGAGAATACGCCGCTTTCTTGATTGACTTGTTGTTGTCCTCCCCTGCTCGCGCACACTTTTCTTTGCGAGTTCGTGCCATCTGCTGGAAGACACACATTACAATGCACAGAATAATATTAAGAACTCCGCATTTCGCACCCATTTTCGCACCTGCCAAATTCGACAGCCCGTTTCAACTGTAAGTTCATCACAGCGACATCCTCGCAATAAGAAAATGTCATCACTTTGCGCCGTCATCACGTAATCGTTGTGCAAGAGGAGCAACTTCATCACATTTTGTTTACCTTTTTTAACTGCGTTGTCGTGCCTCACTAGTTGTCTGTCAATGAAGGGCGCGTCGGCTGTGTCTCCCTCGCCGCCATTTTCGGGTTCCCTCGTGCATCGCGTTCTTCCCGGAGATGGGGAACTCCCTCTTCCGTCCGCGCTTCTGTCGTCTTCGCCTGCCCCGTCACCGCCCTCGTCCTGCGCTGTGCAGTCGCTGCTCCTGCCGTCCTCGTCATCAGCGTCGTGAGTGTCGCGAGAATGTCCGTCGGAAGTTTGACTGTCACCTCCCTCGTCACTTGTTGCCTCGTTCTACTCCCCGTCAGACTTTTCTGATATGGACTGGTCGTGTTCCTCTTCTGCATACTCTCGGGCCGCGCTGTGCACATCGTCCGAGGCTCTCAGATCGATCATCTCCACCATTCTGTCATTTTTGTACGTGATTCTCTTCTTTGTCCTGTGGTGCACCTTTGACATTCCGTCTTCCCGCGACCTCTTCTCGGGGGCCTTGGGTGAACGGTTCTCGACGCCGCTGGCACGGTTCCGTGGGGCAGGAGTCACAGGGGGTGACTCATTGCGTTCTTTCAGCTTTGAAATCATCCCCCTCTGACTTGATGAGAGAGAAACTTTTGATCCGTTTCTGCGGCTGCTGGTCCGCTCCGTTTTTGCATTATGGGATCTGCTTCTGCGATGCTCTCTCCTTTCTTTTTTCTTATCAGCCTTGCATTTCTTCCTCCCCTTGTCCTTCTTTCCCACGCCCTTCAAAGACCTGCACAGATCCTCGTATTTTGGCTTTGGAGCCATGACCCTTTTTTCCCCACATACATCAAAGTGGAATACGAACAACAACTGCGTCAGCAATGTCGTGCGTCGATCCATACACCCCTGAAGTGTAATCGCCGCATTGAGAGAGAGAGAGAGAGAGAGAGAGAGAGAGAGAGAGAGAGAGAGAGAGAGAGAGAGAGAA